TGTGTGTGTGTGTGTGTGTGTGTGTGTGTGTGTGTGTGTGTGTGTGTGTGAGAGAGAGAGAGAGAGAGAGAGAGAGAGAGAGAGAGAGAGAGAAAGGTGGTGGGGGCAAAGGGGAGGGAGGTGAACTTTTCCTTTAACTGTTGTGATCCAAATTTTTTTTCTTGACAATTCTTGGTAAAATAACTGCAAGTTTGCCATGCTCTTAAACCCTACTTAAAAGTGAAAACCTTTCTAAACAGGTATATTTGAGCTAACTTTTTCTTCACAACAGCAGCTATCTTAATAGCCATCCTTTTTTGGCTTCCAATGGAACGTATGTACTTTGAGTTTTTAAATTAAGTCAAAAAGCATGCGCTACAAAGGGACTGTATACTTTATTTTCTCTCCTAGTTGCCTTCAAGAAAAGAAAGAATCCAGGAATGGGTCTCTTAAATGAGAGATTTTCCTTGGAGGGAAGGGATGAGTGGAAGGAGTTCTATTACTATTACATTCTATTGCTTTCTTTACATGAGAACAGAATCATAGATTTTATCCTAAATTAAGGAAGTGTTTGTTTCATATAAACAGAGGTCATTATAATTTACATGTTTCTTCATGTACAAAGTTCAGAACAGCATCTCAACAATAACCTAAGGCAAGTGTTTAACCATGTTACTGTCTTTGACAGTTTCTAACAAAAGCATCTCCCAAACTATTCCAAAAATTTATTTAAATGGCCTATTTAAATGGCCATTTGCCTTGGCAAATTCTGTCAGCATAAATTTCAGGTGGTTTTTAAAGATACTGCTTCTTTTGAAACTATTCAGCCTAGCCTTTTCCTAAGTCACTTTTATTACTTTCAGTGATTCTCATAGTCATTAAAACTGACAGGAGCGTATAGAAGGCTCCCATGGTTTTCCTTCTTGGAACATTATATTATGTATTAGTTTTTAAGTAAAGTTTTAAAATTCAAATTAGGCAACATGAAAGAGTGCCATGTTTATTTCAACAAGATTCCAAATATTTAAAGAACAAAG